GTGAGTATAGCTATTATTAGTACCATACAACAACTCGTCAATGTGTGCTAAACAGTTGTGGTATTTCCCCTTCTGCACCTGGGCTATTCACATTTCCTATATCCTCCAATCACGCCTTCATTGTCACCATTTTTTTACCGTGCCTATTTAGATGTAGTGTGATGTGTCCTTTGTGCGGCATTCATGAAAACCCTTCACACTCCACGCTGTCGGTCTCACCTCCTTCGTCCTTGTGCTAGAAATGTTGATCGGAGTCTGCCATATTGTTACATAGTCCTCCTTCCTTGGGTCCTATCAGTCTCCCTCTTGCTCCGTAGAATCCGTCTGCAATCTCCCTGGCACACGTATTTCACTCGACCCTTGCCCCTCTATCTGTGATACTCGAGACGCTATTCGCTCTCCCCTGCGTCTGGGTGACTAATTCGAGGATCAAGCCTCTGAGTAAGTCTAATGGTCAGGCCTTTGCCACATCGACCACGTGTCTTATAAAACCTACTATCAGTTAACTACCTTCAATCGCCGCTGCGTCTATCTTGTTTCTATCTCTAATACCAAGTCTATGATTTGCCATGCCCTAGCCTCTTGTGTGCCAACAAACAAATGTTGTGGTACTGCTTGCTTTGGTTAGGTTCAATGTTGAGCCACAACGCTTCTGGGTTGGCACACAAGAGACTAGAAAGTCATAGACTTGGTATCATGGATAGAAAGAGGATAGAAACAGTGGAAGGTAGAGCTAGTTGGCTAACAATAGTCGTGATTCAAGGATCACGTTTATGATCAAACACGTGCATTGTTAGCAAAATAGCTCTAGTTTCCATCGCATCTTTTCTATTTATATCTGTGATACCATGTCCATCACTTCCTATGTCCTAGTCCCTTGTGTGCCAACCCACAAATGTCGTGGTTCCACTTGTTTTGATTGGGCTTACTAAAGACGTCTCCTCTGCTTCTGATTGTTGCTTTCTCATCCCCCTGTGATCTCTTTACCTAATATTAAAAGACATTACCTTGATCTAGTCGCCTTCTTTCTGCTGATTTTACTGTTAACTAGTCTTTTCCTAGTTGTGTTTTAACATTGAACCTAACCAAAGCAAGCAGTACCACAAGATTTGTGGGTTGGCACACAAGAGACTAGGGGATGGCAAATCATAGACTTGGTATAAGAGATAGAAACAGGG